TAGGCTGGCTACACTGCCCCTGGCTCAGAGTTACCGTAGCTTTTTGGGAGTCACCGCACCATGATACCCCCCTAACTGGAATAGACCCCTCATTCTTTTTACATTTTTGCCAGAAGGAGTTTCGTTTCGTGACGATATCATGGCCATTTCGAGGATTACAGCACTACATTCAAACCTTGCAGAGCAGGCATATAGTGTTGAAATATTGTCGATGGTCCACAGTTTGTATACTGCCCAACTAACATTTCCAAATAAAGAGTTGGTAATCCAAATATTATTGCGCAGATACAAAACGGGAAAAGAAACGCGCCTGAAATAGAGCAGCTCCATGATCATATCAGTCTTTGCCTCTCCATTATCACCTACTTCCACCATTGTTATAGGCCAAAGCTGGAAATCGCCACACGCTACCCAGCCCTACTGTCAGTCCAATTGTCGCTAGAAGAAATTCCATCGAATTGGCCCAGTGCCCCCTCTTCTCATCCTCCGCAACTTGGGAATTCGAGCCTGAGAAAAGGGATTATGGATGAAAGAGTTTTAAATAGTCCACAAAAATTTGAATAGTCAAACTAACCATATTCGGACCGCTCTAACGAACTCGACCTGAAACATGAATGGGGAACCTATCTGATATTTAGGAAACTTCTCAGCGCAAAAGGAAAGAACAGCACTCATTGATAGACTTCTCAGTTTTCACGTAAACGTACGATATAATTTAAAGTTTGTCTTTCCCATCTCAAGTCTTTTGTGAATCGCCTGAAGAAGAATAACACGTGTCATCCCGCTCCCCCCCCCCCTCACGGCAAAACAGCCTGGGCCGAACTGAAAACCTGCAGATGGTTGGTTCCCTAGGCCGATGTCATAGTTTGCGAATCGAGCGAATCGCTGATCCGAGCGTTGCGCCAGCGAATCGAACGTTGCACCAGCGAATCGAACGATTGCACCAGCGAGTCGAACTATGTACCAGCGAGTCGAACGATGTACCACTCAACACTGTTGAAAGTGGCGGGACCCAACGTTTAAAGGAAGTCTCACCGCTCTTCAACCATGTCTTCCTTCAAAGTGGACTTCCTTTAAACGTCATACGTACGTCGCTGGTACATAGTTCGACTCGCTGGTACATCGTTCGACTCGCTGGCGCAAAGTTCGATTCGCTGGTGCAACGTTCGATTCGCTGGCGCAACGCTCGGATCCAGCGATTCGCTAGCGAATCGCTCGATTCGCAAACTATGACATCGGCCCTATGGCTGTGTTTTCGCTACAATTCTTCCGGCCAACCCAATCAACACATATGCGACAGACCGCAAGCACTCTCGACTCTTCTCTTTCGAACCATTGCATTGAGTGCGCGAGCAAGACTACAGGATATTGGGGACGAGAAAAGGACTTGCTCCCTGCATACTCAAACTAAATAAAATATTTTGCTAATACCAAATCTGCTGCTTCCAAATGAGGTGTGAGAGAGATCTTGCTTCTGCTTACGGAAGACATTTCAGGAATATTTTGTCGGGAGATTTCCATCGATGGTAGCATTCTGTGGACGATAACTTTGCCGATGTGTGCCATGAGCAAAAAGCCCCCCTCCCCTTCGTAATGCAAATTAGTAGCACCCAGGTTTGCTCCGCCCGCTATCGCGCGCATCACAGGGTAGGGAGGAACCACGGAATAGCAGCATGACGTACTCCATTAACCACCTCACTATTGAATGTGTTATACCTCCTTATACCCCTTCTCTCCGGCGCATGCAGCCCTTTCTCCTCTCTCCCTTCCCTCCCTCTTTCTCTCTCCCCCTCCCTCCCTTCCAGCCTCCCCTTTCTTGCCCCCTTCCCTCTACCCTCCACCTCCCCCCCCGCTCATCCGGCTGCCACGGCAGCACCATGTAGAATGAGACTGAGTGTGCTCGATCGGTGTTTATATAGCCGCTGTGGGTGTTATCATGATCATGACATCAACATCACGAAGTGTTGCCCTTCGTACTCCCTGGTTTTGTGAGCGGTTGGTCCGGACGGACAGAACGACACACGCACACACACCTCGACGGTTTTAACTT